AAATGTTAGTTATGTTTAATAACTTTGTCCAGTTGTACATGTCAAAAGTTGTTTCTGTCTATTGTTTTTGTTTATGTATATTACATCAATTTATTGCTACCATTTGTTACCATTTTATTGTTACCAGATGTTTATAAAATGTGATGTCCTTGTTCTGTAAATGAGCGGCCATAGTTGGGGAACTTTAGCCCACTCTACTTACAAACTAATGTAGTACTGCAGGAATAAAGATGCTATACAGTACTTATGCAGTGAAAAATAAACCTTAAAGGAGAACTATGACATGAGTGATTTCCACTCACCTCATAGTTCTATGTCTCAGTATACCGCGAGCTGCAGCTCGCGGTATACTGAGCTTAGGGTAACGGGAGGACGCTAGTTTGTGTCCTCCCGTTACCCTAAGGAGAACTATGGGGAAAAACACTGACCCCATAGTTCTCCTTTAATTTTTGTACTAACAGAGGGTAGAAAAAATAAACACTACGTTGACATTGTTGTCAGGAAGAGGCTAACCAGTCAATTCAAGTCAGTGCCCTAGGTGTAGCCTTTGCATGTAAAAGCATCATGCTTCTTGATGAAAGCAGAATGTGTTAACATAAAAAGTGGAGTTTATTTGTTATCTAGTTACATTTCGCCCACCTCAACACCTTCAATATCTTATTGCAGCTTTGGAATCTTTAAAAATAGATGATAAAAATCTGCGTGCAGTGGAAAAAGTAACTGTTTAATGAAGATTAAAAAAAGGTAAAAAGTAATGCACTGTCATGATATTTTAAAAATCTTGCCTGTTACACAGCAGATAGAAGTCCGATCTAAGTTGCCGATCCACGATTTTTCTCAGAAAGGACTGAGAAAAGAGGTGAACCTCTGAAACACGTTGTGTAGCAACATTTGGCACTTCATGACTCAGAAGTACCCAGCAACAGTGGCCCCTCATGGAGGAGAACCAGTTACAACACAGCTCAGCCATCAGATCAGATCTGTGTCACATAGTACGGATGATCTGGAACCTTTCTGGACTGGACTCTGTTCTCCCCATATGCCTTCCATTCTGAGAATAATCTTGCATCAGCAGTTTAGATCAGACTTCCATTTGATGTGTGACAGGCAGGATTTTTTTTAAACATCCTGTAAGTGCCTTACTTTTTGCCTATAATAAGCAGTTACTTTTATATTGAACTTAGATCTGTAGGGTGCGTTTTTACGTTTTCTTTAGAGTGCTTTTACATAGATGTTTCCCTATCCAACTAACTGGGCAGCATGACTGCATAACTCATCTCTGGCTTAAGATCTTTTCAGAGTATTAGTATACAGTCCACTACCTAGTTGCACAAATTGGTGACTTTTTTCTGTTAAAAATAGATATGTCTTACCATCCAGTTTAAAACATGAAGAAAATAAATGCGGTGCTAATTGTTCTTGAATTTTTTGTGTAAACAAAATTATTGTGGATTGACTAGCGACATTGTGAATTGTACTATAAATATTCCTCTATCATTTTTCTACTTTGCTGCCAACTCTCTTGATTTAGGATTCATTAATTTGATATTATTAAACGTCTTGTAATTTAGGTTTTATTCATTCATTAATATTGAACATCTTGTCTATAGACTAGACAAATATATATTAGTCTATCATGAAAACACACTAACTTTTTTTGCCTCTGAACTGAATGTGATGCTGATGTCACATCTCAAAAAAAATGCAGAATGGGCAGTGTATGAAGTAATCTTTCTCAACCATAAGTCTTACTAGTGAAATACATACCAGATGCTGTTCATTAGCATTGCTATGCTAAGATGTTAAGAGTTTTTGTGTGTAATATTATGTTATTGATGAAACCAGCGGCAAACATTGCTACACTGAAATCCATCTGGCATGAGCCTGAAGTATGAAATTGATAGTCAGGATTAAAGTCCAAGTAAAAAATAAATGTGTTAAGATTAGATTCTCTTCATTTTCCTTTGCATTGTTCTTATTCTTCATTGCCTGCATAATAAAAAATAAAGTGAGAACACCCACTACCTAGGTCTGAAGTCACCAATATAAAGAAACCTGGTATTTCACATAGGAAATCAATTTTACAATTTACAATGCTAAATCATGCACCATTAATGCTAGTCTATAGAAATCAGAAAAAAGATCATATGCATATAAGTATCACCTGCATATCTCAATTGATGTTATGGCTGCCCAACTCTATAACGATGAGCAAAATAGTAGGTATATACTCGAGATCCTGGGTAACAACACAGCAGTGAAAGAATCTTGAAATCTCTTAAATGGGCAATCCCATTGTGTATCCATACGATTTACCACCGTGCTCCCCTTATACTCCAAAAACTCACCAGTCCTATACCCGAACCTCCGGTTTTAGGAAGCCGGGCAGCGAGTCATTACATGCTGGCTCCATGCTCCCTTGTCACTTGTAATGACTTGCCGCCTAGCCTCCTGATTGGCCAGAAAGCTGGCTCCAGGCTTCCCTGTCACTCAGTGACGAGGAAGCATGGAGACGGCTTCCGTGCTAATCGGGAAGCCGGGTGGTGAGTCTTTACACGCCGCCCAGCTTCCCGGATAATCAGGAAGCCAGGTGGTAAGTCATTATACGCCACCTGGCTTTCTTAATGGGACTTCGGTATTCGTACTCGATAGCGAAAACCCGGTATTGGTGCATCCCTACCCAAAATATGCCTTTTTGTACCAATTATTTCCTCTTTTTTTCCTTGGGCTAAATGTTGGTAACACACACTTTTAAAAAGACAAAGCCTTTTGGGTGGGATAGAACAGCAAACCGATTGAGGCATGCATTTTGCTGCATTGAACAATAATTTCAAACATCTAGAAGAATAAAACTGATCCACGTATGGCCTCCATATAAACGCTCTAATGTGCTATAACTCTCAGAGTTGGTCTATGGTGAGTGAAGGGGACTAAGGGGGTATCTAAAATATGGGTATTTTTGGAAAGGGGCAGTTTCACAGTGCTTGCCATAGGTGCTATTATCTGTAAATACGCCTCTGATCACGTGCAAAGAAAATTCCTGATTACATGTTTTATGTTTTTGCCATGTCATCTCTGAAATCATTTGGTCTTTGAAGTTATTGTATGGTCATTGCAGTTAACATATTGATTGGGGCTAAATGGTCTCTACTACTTGCCAGGCCTTAAAAGTTACTCGCCACCATTTGCCCCACCTAACCCCTATCCTACCCTGACAATAACTCCGCCCCTAAACACGCCCTCCTAAATTATCTTATTAAATTGCACTGTAAAATGTTTTATTCAGAATAAAGTTACAAAAATAAAAACAACTTTAACAATATTACCATAAAGCAATATAAATAAAGGAAAATGTATCCAAAAAAGCAGAATGGCACCAGTTATAGAGGACTGCAACTCCCAGCTACACTTTACACAGAAATGCACAATGATAACAGCTATAGAGGACTACAACTCTCGGCAACACTTTATCTAAAAATGCAGAATGGCACCAGAGGACTACAACTCCCAGCAACACTTTATCCAAAAATGCAGAATGGCACCAGCTATAGAGGACTACAAGTCCCATCAACACTTTATATTGAAAAACTTAATCACCAAATAGAAAAACAGTAAAGAGCTGCCTCCAACTTCCTATGACATCATTATGATGTTACATTCCCGCCAGATAATTCAAAAAATAAGCATAAACAATCATGAATGGGAACGTTTTTCAACCATCCAAAAGAATAGCCCTGCTTGCAGAGCTCAAATTGCATGCATGACCCTTTGCAGATCAGGCTCCCCCTCCTGAGAAATAGCAGTGTAGAGATCAAAGAAAGAATCACACCACCCGGCCGTTAGTTCAGGCCGACTTGTGCTGCCATGGGAACAGGGACGCCTATAGCTTGACGGGACACTACATTCCAGCTCACGGTCCCGTCTGCCTGCACATGCGCAGTAGAGAGCGGGTATCTATGGTGACAGGAGATGCTGGCTTATACAATACACAGACACGTCACCTGTCTAAACAAAGGCACGATTGTCGGAGCCAATCGGGGGAGGACAGAGCAGGAGGAAACTAAAAGTGCAGGAGAGAAGGGGGAGAGAGTGGATGGATCTTGTGCCTGGCTCGCCCTCACTTTATTTCCTCTCGCCAAATGCGAGCAGGCGCGTGGAAATTTTGAGCCCTGGTCTAGAGTGTCCACAGCACTCAGCAGACCATTGCTGTTTAATCTTCAACAATCTTTACCACCAATCACTTGAAGGAGGCTGCTGTCCACAAAGGCAACTGGGACATATCCTTAATGATCCATGTAAAAGAACAAGCAGAGGGACAGCGCTCTTTCCTCGTGTGATGATGTTAAATACAAAATGTGTACAAGTAAAAAAAACTACTCACATGTACATGATAGAGACATGCGATTTAGTAAACCATACATGCAGAGCAGAGCCAAAAGTGCTGACGCATTTATGGGGAAATCTCCTCAGAGCCAACATTCAGAATATATAAGCTATGTAGCAAGTATGTGATCCTAA